TCACTGAATAAATTTTGGTGTAAAAAAATGGCAGCTTAATAATAGGAGTTTAATCTTAGCCAACAAGAAGATTTACTTAAAGCTCTTACATCCTGACATATTGGCGAATAGTTTTCAAATAGGAAATTAACATTGTGAGTAAATATGTATCATTGGACATGAGATTGAATTTTTTGCCATATAAATGGCCTACATTACTCCGATATCTAGATTTGCCAAACTATTTTGGTACAGGTTGGCTCACTTGATCCCCACAACAAATCTGGTAGGTACATTGTGGTGACATCCTCTCTCTGCCAAGGGTTTTTTGTTAGGGTTAAATAGGATGATGCTCATAAAAGCACTTAGTCACTGCCTGACGTGTAAGTAATCACTCAGGAAAGGTTATTTCTGTTTCTGTTATTGTTATTACTTACACTATTTGCACGTGTTATTTTTTTTTTCAAATCATAAAACTTGAACATTGTCAGAGGTAAAGTGACATGTGTGACATGATATGTGTGATCTTAATCACTGCACAAGAGTGGCCCAGGTTTGCTTTTCTTTTGAAAATGTGTTCCTCTATAATTTTTCATTACAAAAGTGATGCTTCCTCATCCTAATTAGCAAAACAGTTCAAAAATAGATGAAGGATAATTGAATAATCTCCCCTCATAATACGTTATTCCTGATCCATTGACAGGCTTCCCAAAAATGCTAATAACATTTATATAAACATCTGAGCATTTTTTTTGGCTTAAGCAAATACTTATCAACACTTATTTGTATCAGGACCATTTCCTGGGTTGTTGCTTTGAAAAAAATGGGATCTACTGAAATAAATTGTTTTGCAACTTCCTGTTGTCACAGAACAATATATCATGGGCATTTCATAGGTCAATAGATTTTCTTTGTTTTATGTTTTAATATTCCTATTTCATTCCCATGGAAGGCATTTGGTTGTATGTTATGAAGTGAGAGTTCTATCTTTTTAAAATGTGCAAATCTCCAATCTTTCTAGTTACAATTTTGTTTCAGTGAAATTTCTGTCAATTTTGGAGGCAATAACAGTCTTATTAAAATAATGTATGGTTACGGTGCCATTTAGAATCTGACGTGACAGATGTTCCTTATTACTTTTCTATTGTGTTATATTTCTTAAATAAACCCTTTTATTTTGAAAATAAATGTAATAACATTTTCTCAAATTATCAAGCAAAAAAGGTCACATATGACATATGATATGATAGAATTGATTTGCTTTACAGTAATGTAATGGATAGCAGGAGCAGGCCAGTCAATGGAGTACAAAGGAAATGTTTAGCCATACATTGATAGGCACCACAGATGCGTGATAGGTAAACTATTACCTCTATTTTCATTGATGTGTGAAATCGTCCATATCAACAAATTGAAACATGTATATTTGGCTTCCATGTTCCACTTTTTAAACAATGCTACTCTGGAATTTTTGAGGAACAAAAATGTAAATAATTTGAAAAAACTTACAATTTTATAATATCCAGTCTTCCATCCAGAGTGAAGCATATACATGCCGATATTCAAGCCTTCTTTGATACCATTCAGAGAAGGTTTATAGAGCCCTTCATATACTACTAGAATAACTCTTGACCCTTTGATCTCGAGATGTTTTATGCTTATCCTTGCTGTCATCAATGGATTATTTTCCAATTGATTGTTACTTGTATAATGGGAAACTAATGAATTTTGTTTACTTTTTTTCTGACTACTGATCGTACTTTCACTAGCTTAATACTTATCAGGTACTTTTGGGTATATAATCCTATTAACTGTGTATTTGATGCAACCTTAAACCACGGTTAAAAATGCTTCTCCATTTGGGGCTGGCTCTGTGGCTGAGTGGTTAAGTTCATGCGCTCTGCTGCAGGTGGCCCAGTGTTTCGCTGGTTCAAATCCTGGGCGTGGACATGGTACTGCTCATCAAACCACGCTGAGGCAGCATCCCACATGCCACAACTAGAAGGACCCACAACGAAGAATATACAACTATGTACCAGAGGGCTTTGGGGAGAAAAAGGAAAAAAAATAAAATCTTTAAAAAGAAAAATGCTTCTCCATTCTAATTGATTAGTGGCAATGCACTCCCAAATAAAACAAATCAGATAGAACAATTGCTTTTTTTGGTCTAGGTCTGGACCTGGCTGCTACATGGCCACTCCATCTTTTAGATATGGGACATTTACCTGTAGTATGGGATCTGGGCCCTCAGGTAGAGAATTTAAAGAGATAGGCTCAACCAGAGGTGAAATAACAGCCACATGAAACTCAAATTCAGTACTGACCTTTGAATACAATTGTAATGACTTAGGATTGGAGGATGTGAACGGTAGGCAAACTTAGCTATCGAGTAATATCAAGCAGAATTACTCACTGAGTCAAAATCCTGGCTGTAGGCTTCTATATTCTAAATAGGATGCCAATATCTTCTCTCTGAGTGTCTTTTCTTGAACATAGTGCCCTTGTCATATATGCTTACGTTGAATTCTGGGCTCTCTATTCTGTTCCACTGATGTTTGTGTCTTTTTTATGCTGGTACAATACTGTTTTGATTACTATATATTTGTAATATAATTTGAAAACAGAAAATGTGATGCTGATGCCTCAAATTTTCTCTTCTTGCTCAAGATTGCTTTGGCCAATTGACGTCTTTTGTGGTTCCACACAAATTTTAGGATTGTTTTTCCTATTTCTGTGAAAAATACCATTAGAATTTTGATAGGGATTACATTGCATCTGTAGATCACTTGGGTAGTATGGACATTTTAGCAATATTACTTCCTCCAATACATGAACATGAAATATCTTTCCATTTATTTGTGTCTTCTTTGATTTCTTTCTTCATTGTCTTATAGATTTCAGTGTACAGATCTTTCACCTTCTTGGTTAAAATTATTCTTAAGCATTTTATTCTTTTTGATGCTATTCAAAATGGGATTGTGTTCTTGATTTCCTTTTCTGATAGATCATTGCTGATGTAAAGAAATACAATTGAATTTTTGTATATTGATTTTGTATCTTGTAACTTTGTTGAATTTGTTTATTATGTTTGTGTGTGTGTATAGACTTTAGGATTTTCAACATATAGAATCATGTCATCTGCAAACAGTTCATTTTACTTCTTCTTTTCGAATGTGGATTCCTTTTATTTCTTTTTCTTGTCTAATTGTTGTTGTTTGTACTTCCAGTACTATGTTAAATAGAAGTGGCTAGTGGCCATTTGTGCCTTGTGCCAGATTTTAGAGGAAAGCTTTCAGTTTTCCCCCATTGATTCTGATGTTAGCTGTGGGCTTCATAAACGGCCGTTATTGTGTTGAGGAAATTTCCTTTTACACCTATTTGGTTAAGAGTTCTTATCATAAGTGGATGTTGAACTTTGTCAAATAATTTTTCCGCATCTATTGAGATGATCATGTGATTTTTATCTTTCATTCTGTTCTGTGGTATACCACATTGATTGATTTTCATATGTTAAACCAGCCTTGCATTCCAGCTATAAATTCCACTTAGCCATGGTGTATAGTCTTTTTGATGTGTTGTTCAATTTGGTTTGCTAGTATTTTATTGAGAATTTTTTCATCTATGTTCTTCAGAGATATTGGCCTATGGTTTTCTTTTCTTATGTTTCCTAAAGCTTTTCTTAAAAACTCTCAGCAGTTTACTTATGCAGAACAACTTTAACATAACCTATTTGATTATGTTAAAAATTCCCACACCCAGGAGTTTCTAATGTAATTTATAATATAAGATATTCCCACTTGGGGTCCTAGGAATATAGTTATTTATTTAAGTTACTTTTTATACCCCTCATGAAGTATTCATATTTTTCTTCAAAGGTCCTCAAAAATTCTTTCTAAGCTTTTCTCAGAGATATCTAAATTTTGTTTCCATTATGAATGGATTCATTACCTAATTTCCTTTTAAATAAATACTGTTAAATATATGGAAGTTTTAATATTTCTGTTTATCCTGTCGGGTATCTTTTTTTAATTTATCAATTGATTTCAGGGTTACGATAATATACATACATCGGATGCCTTATGGATAGAAATTGAAGTCACATAACACACTCATTATTATCCCCATGTACTGCACATGCCCATACACAAGAAGTCACCCAATACCCTTACTGTGGGGACTGTGTCACCCCTCAGTATTTGTTATTTAGTGAGAAATGTTTACATTTGCTTTAACATCTGTGAAATTTGTCTTCAGTTTCATGGTTATGTAGATTTTGCTGTCTGCTTTTCCAGGGTTCCCTGGGCAGCTTCCTGAAACTCAGCTCACTAGAGATGTTTTGTTGTAACAAACCCCAACCTAGTAGTGGAAGTTAATCTTAGTGCATTAGTCAGGATTCTCCAGAGAAACGGAACCAATAGGAGAGAGAGATAGAAATAGAGAGACAGATTTTAAGACATTAGCTCATGCAATTGTGGGAGTTAGCAGGTCCAACTCTAAAATCTCTAGAGCAAGCTGGCAAGCTAGAGAGCCAGAGAAGAGTTGTTGCAGTCTTGAGTCCAAAATCTGCAGGACGGGCCAAGCAGGCTGGAAATTCAGGCAAGATTTCTATGTTACACTCTTAAAGCAGAATTGCCTCTTCTTCAGGAAACCTCAGTCTTTTCTCTTAAGGCCCTCACCTGATTGGATGAGGCCCACCAAAATTATGGAAGGTAATCTGCTTTACTCAAAGTCTACTATTTAAATATTAATCACATCTAAAAAGTACTGTTTACAGCAACACGTAGGTTGGTATTTGACTAACAACTTGGCACCATAAGGTAGCTTAGTTGATACATAAAATTAATCATCGCCCTTAACAAGGAAGGATTACTCAAGGCAGTTAAACCCTAGTTAAGTAGGTAAGGAGCTGTTAAATAGAAATGCAACATGCATGTTCCAAGGAACCGTGTTTTGTTACACATGGAACAGAATTTTGTCATAATAAGATGGATTATGTTTTCTGACCAATTTTAGATCACCAAACTATTTCCTCTTTGGTTGGTACATTTGACCCTGAAGACAAATCTATGATGCAGATGTAATCATATTCTCTGCACCGTAGGTTTGTTGTCAGGGTTAAATGGGCTACTTTACATGGAAGCAACTAGCAAGTTGCTAGCTGGACGTGCAAATAAGCACACAGTGAAAGTTAATGATATTCACAAAAAGGAAATTTTGAAGCTATGATCATTATGTAAGTGATAAGGCAAAGTTAGAAAATAATCAATTGTCTATATTTGTGTCAAATAAAAAAGCTTCAATATTTTTAACTACAAAAGTAATACTTATACTAAATAGCAAAAAGGAGCAGATAGGTAAAGAAAATTTATTAATCTCCCCCCACAATGTGAATACCAAATTCACTAATGTTTTGTTTTGGGAAACTGCAACTTAACAGTGGAAGTTATCTTAACGATTAAAGAGTATTCGCAGAACCTAAACCCTGGCTGGTCTGTAAGTAGATTTTTTCAAAAGGAATACACTATATTATAAAATATTCAAGTATTTCCCAAATATAAAATGAAGTTTCTTTGTAGTATTATGTACTTTCTCTGTAGAATTTCATTTTCACAAATATGCTCACACATATTGGCTCGTTTGATTGCAGATGTGATAATACATAATACATGCCATAAGTTAATTCTGAAGATTAAATAAACTAATCCATGTTTAGGCATTCACTATGTGGATGCAACTTCTCAGTGAAAATTTATTATCATTTTCTTTATTAGTCTTTTTTATTCTAAAAGCACATATTTTTACCTCCTTTATATGGAGGATACCTCCGACCTGGAAAATTTGCATGAGTCACAAGATAATCAAGTGACCTGTTTTGCTTTAATATTTTTTAAATGTTTTCTTTACTTTTTAATTACAAACGTAATACTTGGTCATAAAAATTAAAAATCTTATCCTCCTCCAACTCCCTGTTTCCACTGTCCTGCCTTAATGATAAATGTGCCAACAGCATACTTATACAATTTTCTATGCTCAAACAAATGCATAATCAACCTGCTGAAAATCAGAGAAGAGAGTGTTTGATTGTTGCTTGTTTCTAGAAAAGTAATATCATACTATGTGGATTTCTCTATAACTTGCTTTTCTTACCTAATAGCTCTGTCACTCTGTTTTTTTAAGGGTTTTATGCTCTAAAATTCAGCATTTCCACAATGCAGAATACATTTGTGAAGTATAAATTTAAATTCGTATAAATCCATGAATACTGAATTTTCCCAAGAACATCCGATGTTTCAGTTTATGTCTAGGGTTTCGAATCAATACTAAATCATTTCCTTATTATATCTGTACAGTAACTCTTAGTATCTGTTATGAAACATATCCCTTATCACTCTTCCTAATTGGGATCTTTATGGAAAGGTCATTTTTCTTTCAAATGAAATTTAATATCTTCATTTTGAATGTTTAAAAAATGTCGCATTGTTTAATTAACAGAAAAACATAAATGAATTTGAGGGAAACTACCTACCTACCTAATTCAATGTTCTTATATTACTCATTGATTGTTTTCTTGAGTTTGAGGTTTCTATGCATCGCAACGATAAAGCAGTTATATATCACCCACCCACTCCTCCCCTCCACTTCCCTGCAGCCTCAGGTTAACCAATATAAAGAGCTTGGTTACACCTTTCCATATATATAATATATGGTATTTAGTATTAGAATGTAATTATATTCGATATATTGTCCAAAGGGTTCTGCGTCATACTCTTCTTAGCTCACAACACATATTGGACATTCTTGTAGGTCTTTAGATTAAGGTTTTATGTTTTAAAATTCAACTCTATAGCACATGTGGAAAGTATTTGCAGGTATGCTGTGGATGAGGTTTTAACATTATTCCCTGCGACTATAAAAGTTTCCCACAAAATTTGAATTGTTGATTCTGTAACATTGTTCTCTCTCACAATTCTTGAGCTGATGCCATGATTGTTTTAATTGGTAGAGCTTTACAATACAATTTGAAGGCAAGTAGCCTCCAATCTTTGGATTTTCTCCTTTAACTCTTTTACCAGTTTTGGTTGTGGTTCAGGTGAAACCGAATGTCATTTTTTTAATTAAAAAAATAAAGTCACTTTGGAACATTTAATATAATTAACTTTCTAATATTGGATCTCCCAGGCTCATAAATATTTATTAGCTGGTTTTTATATTCAGAACAATTTCGAAGTTTTTTAAAAGGAATTTTGACTAATCCTTGCTAATTTGATTTCTAGTTATTTTCATTTTAAAAAATATTTTCTGCTGTGAATTGATTTTTGTCTAATTTTTTAAAAAAATATTGTTGCTATATAGAAAAAGTACTATTGTATTATTTTTGTTTTCTGTCTGCTCACTAAGATGTGAGCTTTCATCATTCTTCGCTGGATTCTTGTGGATTATCCACATAAATCATACTATCTCATAGGACTTGCCCTGCAGCATTACGTACCATCACAGTCGCTGAGGGCTACATGTTACTGTGCAGAGCAGGTCAGATATTACGTTTGCTTTTGGGTCTTCCTCCTTCCACTTCTTCCATCTCTATCTCTTAAAACTTGGCAGTAGGTGCATGCCCTCAAGTAAACTTCTGGGATGGATTTGCTGCCGTCACAAGAGGCCTTTACATATAAAATAACAATTTGACAATAGAGTTTAAAATCAGCTAGAAGTAAAGTGTATTCAAAGGACTTATATCCATGGCAGGTAACAATAAAGATTCTAAGTAGGAAAGCAAACTTCTACCATGTGTTTTGCCTTACAAGGAGTCAAATGTTTGAATAATATATTTGCTTATATTTCCATGTTGATTTTCACTTCAAAAAGTATTTTCCTACTTGTTACTTCATTGAATCCTGAAACCATAAATAGAGTCTACGGTATAAATTTTTGTAAAGATTGAGATAATCCATGTAAATTCACTCAGTACTGGCTGAGAAATAAGTAAGTTATTCTTATTAAGTAAGTAAATGTTAATAATGATCAATATGAGTAGTAGTGGTACTAAGAACCTGTTTTATTTTCTCCTTTTTACAGAATAGAGAACAAGATTGGAGAGGCTCTTGTTTCAATCATCAAAAGGCCCAAGTTACTTAATAATAAAAATTGTTTTTTCAGTCTAACCTGTGAAAAATCGCAAAGATATAAACTGAAGAAGTTAATAATCTTCTTGCACATCCTTTCTCTTCCACAGTGCAGATATTGAAAAGGTACATACTTGTGATCCTGGATAGCAAAACCCAATGTTATATTGATGTTATCTTCTCTCAAATACATCTACATTGTTTTGGCAATTTCAATTTAACACTCTATTATGCCTCTGGAAATTCGTCAAAGTGATATTAAAGTTCATCTGTAAGACTAAATGGGTGACGATGTTTAAAAATACAAAATACAAGAAGAGCAATGAGGTATATTTAAAGTATCAAATAAATTGTATTCTAAAGCTATAATGAATACAGGAATGCAGCACTGGCACAGAAATCGACAGATAGCTGAACTGATCTTATTGTTCAGAGTTAAGCAAATTCACTAATGTTTTTCCATAGTCCCTAAAATATTGTTGATAACTTTGCTTCTAGCTATCTTACAAATTTTCTTTCTATTGCAAATGAACATATTTTTCCATCATACTATTTAATTTCTTATTGCTGTTATATAGGAAAGCTGTTGATTTCAGTATATTTAATTTTGCTTATGCACCTAACTGAACTATCTTAGTAGTGCTCATCATTTTCAGTTCATGCTAGGATGATGGTCATGTTATCTATGTCACAGATCCAGTGTAACATTAAAACCAAGCCACAGCCTCATTGTCATAGTCAGTAAGTGGTATCTATTGTCCAATCACACTCTGTCCTAACTACCCACTATAGTCTTTTTGACATGGTTTACTAACCCTAGTATTTACCATCATATCCCAGAAGACGTGGTTAACGTCTATAATCAGTTGACTGTAGGGAAAGTAAATTACCCTCCATAATGTGGATGGACGTCATCCAAGCTGTTGAAGGCCTTAAGAACAAGAACTGAAGCTTCTTGGAGGAGAAATTTTGCCTCAAGACTGCAACCTCAGCTACTAGCCAAGTCTGCTGACCTGCTTTAGACTTCAAATATGCCTGCCTCACAATCTGGTAAGCCAATTCTTTAAAATAAATCTCTCCTATACACTATATATCTTCTTTCTCTCTATTTATATATACCTATATCTATCTATCCATCTATCCTGATTCTGTTTCCCTGGAGAACCTTAACTGATACACCACACTTAAAACTGTCTTTGGAGTTGTCTTAGCTAACCTGATCAATACAATGACTCTCTGCAGAGACCTCACAATCTAAAATGCAGCCCGAAGTCCTCTTGGTCTAGATAGAACTTTGTAAATTACAAGCTTTGCTGTTAATATCTTTTGGAAGATTGGAACAGTGGTTAGTATTTTACATAGTTTTGTGTGAGAAATTTAATAATTAGCAGTATCAGTATAGTTTAGAAGGAAAATGGTAACAGGGAAGAAAGAAATGAAAACAGGTAGACAGGTAGATAAACAGTCACAAATGGCCTTCCTTCTATACAGGTAAAAATGTTAGAAAAACTTTTAAAGATGGGAGAATGTTGATTGAAAACCTTACTCAGATGGGAAATCAATTCTGTGGAAGAGAAAAAAGCATCTGGAGTGGGCCCAAAAATAAGACAGTAGCATCTCCACCCAGTTCCCTGTGGTGTAAGAGGACACAGAAGACCACCACCATGGTGCCTGTGACTCCATCCGGGTGGAGGGCTGGAGTAGAAGATGAGTAGCCATAAGCTTAAAAGCAAATCTTTTGCTAACAGAGAGAGGCAGCATAGCCCGACGCCTGGATTTAGATCCCATCCCAGTGTTGCCACTTCCTAGCTGTGTGGCCTTGCAAATTGCTTAACTCTCTGTGCCTAAGTTTGCTTATCTATAAAATGGGGATAATCATCATCTATCTATATAATAATAATCTATGAAATAATCCATGAAGTGGGGATAATAATAGTAATGGGGATTAAGTGAGTTAATAGATGTAAACCACTTAGAACAGCGCCTACCACGTAGAATGTACTAAATACATATTAATGATATTAATCATAACTATTAAGAATGCAGTCTAGGGGCCGGCCCTATGGCCAAGTGCGTGCTCCGCTTCAGCAGCCCAGGGTTTCGCCAGGTCGGATCCTGGGTGAGGACCTAGCACCACTCGTCTGGCCATGATGAGGCAGCGTCCCACGTGGCAGACACAGAAGGACCTACAACTAGAGTATACAACTATGTACTGGGGGGCTTTGGGGAGAAGAAGAAGAAATAAACATTGGCAACAGATGTTAGCTTAGGGCCAATCTTCAAAAAAAAAAAAACCAGTCTAATAGTGTTGAAGTTGTCTACTATCCAGATTATACACATTATTCACATCTTGGTAGTTAAGTGCGTATATTATAAATAGGAAGCCAACTTTTTGGTAATAAATGTGCTTTGTTAAATACATAATGTGCTACAGAAATTATATCATTTGCATCCGTGTTGGTTTTCACCAAAAGTATTTTTCCAAATCTTTTCAATTGAGCCTCATGAGAAATTTCTGAGTTTGATGTAATAAAAGCATTCTCATGAGGATTAAATGATATAATTCTTATAAAAGTCTCCTAACAATTACCTGAATGGTTTTATTATCTATTTTTATGGATATAATAATTTGAAGCTTTGAAACTTTTAGTGGTTTCTTTCAGTTGGCATAACACTTGAGTGCCCAGGGTTCTTTTTTGTTTTTAAATTACAAAATTATTTTTCTTCCTTAAATTGTGTTTATTCACAACTGTAATATGTGCACATTGTAACTAGTGGAATAAGGCAGATAAATTTAAAGAAGTTGCTAATCCTTCTTCTTACCCTCTCTATTTTCATCCCCCTGAGATGGTGGAATGCCAACATCTTGGTGCATATTGTGCTGGTTTCGTTCTTTATCCAGTTCAAACAAACAAGTAGGAACTTATACATACATATGTAAGATGTTCATTATTATTTTCTTTCAAAAACATTTTTAATCATAAATATATTCCTTTGCCACTTGTTTGTCTCATGCCAAAATATTTCAGAGTATTCCTTCTAGGTCAGTGGTTTTCAACAGGGAGAGGTCTCGCTCCCCCTCACCCACCCCCACTAACCCCAGGGGAATAGATGGCAGTGTCTGGGGTCATTTTTGGTTGCAGTAACTGGAGGGAGGATGCTACTAGCATTTAGTGGGTAGATGTCAGGGATGCTATTTAATATCCCCTAATGCACAGGGCAGCCATCCCCCATCCCAACAAAAAATTATCCCACCCAAAATATCAATAGTGCCAAGGTTGAGAAATCCTGCTGTAGGTCAGTAGAGCTACAGCTAACTCTTGATTTAAATAGTTGTACAATATTTCATAATAGTGACAAACTGCAGTGTACTCAATTCTACTAATGATGAATTGATTTAGCAGTTTCCAGTTGTTGCTAACACAGACTGTGCTACGATAAACATTTTTGTTCATAGACCGTCGCATGCTGATGCTCTTCTTTCTCTTGGATAGATTCCCCAGTGTGAGAGTGCTGGGTCTATTTTTTAGATTTTAATAGATTTCTGTATCACTTTTCAAATTATTTACAGTAATTCACACTCTACCATTAGAAAATAAGAGTGCCATTTACCCAGCATTCTCTCTAGGAATTGGATGTTATTAATCTTCTATAATTTTAGCCAGTCATTTGGGTAAAAACTGCCTCGTTGTTATCTTAATTTGCATTTGCCTAATTATCACTAGCATTGAGCAGCATTTCATATTTATTAGCTATTTGAGTATTTCTTCTTTTTTTTTTTTTTGAGCAAGCTTAGCCCTGAGCTAACTGCTGCCAATCCTCTTTTTGCTGAGGAAGGCTGGCCCTGAGCTAACATCGGTGCCCATCCTCCTCTACTTTATATGTGGGACGTCTACCACAGCATGGCTTGCCAAACGGTGCCATGTCCGCACCCGGGATCCAAACCGATGAACCCCGGGCTGCTGAAGCAGAATGTGGGCACTTAACCGCTGTGCCACCGGGTCGGCCCCTGAATATTTCTTATTAATCCCTGTTGATAACTTTTGCTGAATTTTTCTGTTGTCTTTTTAAAAACAATTTTTCAAAACACTTTGTATACTGTGGTTATTTTTACCTGTCATATGTGATGCAAATATTTTTCTCTTCTATAATTTGTCTTTCTGATGTTGTATCTCTTTCTATTTAACACATTTTAGTTTCTGTATATGTTATTTTAACTTTTAATGTATTCTTATATTTTTGCCTTGCTTAGGACAGTATATCCTACTCCAGATTCATAAAAATACTATTCTAAATTTTGCTGATACTTTATTATTTTACTTTTTGTATTTAGCTCCTTAATCCATATGGAATTCGTTTTTTTTTTTGGTGGAAGAGTCTAAATTAGTCTACCTCATTAGAACTGCTTTTGCACTGTTAATTAATAAATCATCCTTTCCTAACTGAAGGAAAACTTGTTCTTAAGGTTTCTTGAACCTTTTGTTTTGGACTTTGAATTCTCTGTTAGTCATCTATTTGTCATTTCTATGTCAGTACCATAGTAATATAGTTTTATTCTAAGTTTTCATATCTGGTTAGGCAAATCTCTCTTCACTATTCTTGTTCATAAAGGTCTTAGCTATTCTTGAACAAATATTCTTTTTTGTAAACATTAAAATCATTTTATCAAGTTTCAAAAATAAATTTGTATTAAAGTCCTGGCACGAAACAAATGACACGTTCACCTAGATAAAGAGGGAGAGTTTAATAAAGGGACATGTGTGAATGAGATAAGGGGTCCTTAAAAGGATGGTGAAGCACCGCACCTTCAAGCTAGCTACAGCAAGGAGCCACTTCCACCTCTGGGTCTGAAGGTTAAGGGAAGGCAGAGATTACTGGAGTCCTGACAGAACGTCTCCATTGGAGAGGGTTTACAACAGGAGTTGTAGAAGGCACAGCCAGCCCATGGCACCTGGCTGGGAGGAAGCCAAGGAGAGAAATGTCCTGACCTTAACTCTCCTCCTACCTCCAGAACTCCTGCCAGTGATTCCTGTTGTCCAAACCCACCCAGGAACCAGAGGGCAAGAGAGGGGTTGATGCAGTCTATACAGGTCAGCCTCCTGGGGTACAGATCAGGATGGAGAAGGGTAGAGGGTGCGTCTAGAGAAGCAGACAGTATGTCCAGCCCATAATCCATTGGCATGCTGATACACAATTTCATTTAACTTATGCATTAATTTTGTGAGGACTGAGATTTTTCTATCAGTCTTTTCTGTCTGGGAACCTAGTATATATCTCGATTTTTTCATATCTTGTTTTATGCTCTTCATTAAAATTTTGCAGTTTTGCATTTCTCCATGAGTTTATTCCTACGTATTTGTGATTTTCATTGTCTCTTGGATAAGATTAATTTTCCATCCTGTTAATAAGTAGCTCTCAGTGATATGAAGGAGAGTTTTTAACTTATGTATATTTATTTTGTATAAAACCACCTTATCACAATCTTATACAAATTCTAGTTGGAATTTTTTTTGCCCTCTGATGCTTTCTAGATATAGAGCCATATCATGAGCAAATAAAGAGAATTTTTTTCTTCTTTTCCAATATCTATTCTGATTATTTAGTTTTCTTTTGTAATTGTTTAAATGACGATATCCAAGCAATGTGGAAGAATAATGGTGGTAGTGGACAATACTTTGCTACTTACGATTTAATTTTTTTAAATTCTAGAGGCAGTACATGATTCTATTTTTATTTTTTAGTTGTAGCATACCAGATCAAGCTAAAATCCCCTTTGAACAGTATTCCCAACTATTGTCCTCTCCTTCCATTCTTCTACCTTAGTTCCTTAATCTATAAAATGGAAAGAAGAATAATACCTACCTCATAAGGTTATTGTGAGAATTAGGTGATGTTATATATGCAAAATAGCTAGAATAGAGCCTGGCACATAGTAAACTTCCGATAATTATTATCTACTATTGTTATTATTATTATTATCACCACCCATTAGAAACATATAGCATTATTTTGTTGTAACTCCTTCCAAAAGTGACTTAATTGTTCTGTAT